AGCTAAAATAGTGGTGGAGCATTAGAGAAATTCCAGGTGGGTAGGAGACAGCAGAGGCAAGACTTTTGCTGAGAGATTACAGTAAATTCCATAGGATTTGCCAATAAAAAATGAAAGAAAGAGGACTAAACTGATTTTTTGGCTTTTGGATTTTTGGAATTGATTTAACTTGCTGATATGAAAAGATTATATCTGGGAAGATCAGTGGAAGAACAAGTTTGGGCAATTTTCTTTGGGACACATGAAGTTTGAGCTGTCTGTGAAGCTTTCAGCTGGACCTGCCAATGAGGTTAAGTATAGAGAAGTCTGAATCTCAGAAGAGAGGTGTAGAATCAAGACATGAAGGTCTTCAACATGGTGCCATTGGAAGGGTAAAAGCTGGAGACTGAGTGTGGCGAGAAATTAGGTTCAGCCCAAAGTTTTGAGATATTGCAATGAAGAATATTTGGGTGAAAGCTGAGAATCCAGCGAAGTGGACTGTGCGGGTTATCTGGGGAGAAAGTGGGAACACCGAAAGTGGTACCAGGCTGTGGTAACATGGAAGCAAAACATAGATTGTTTTGTGGGCTTGGGTGGACTTTGTAAAAAGACACTAGGCGGTAAGGGTGATGAACAAAGATGTCGATTTGGGTATCAGAATACTAGAAAGTACCAGTAAGGTTGTAGATAGCAGGAAAAATAATGTGTGGTGGTACTATGCTTCTCTGCCACCATTTACAAAGCATATTAAACTCCTGTTTTTCTTCAAAATAACCCCGTGAGGCAGCAGATCAGGTATTGTCATTATAATTTCATGGAGGAGTCAGTATACACTGGAATGGCAGAAACATTTATAGCTATAAACTCAAATGCATGTTCTCCCTGGCTGAACCTGTTTCTCAGCCCCCTACTTCCCATCCTCATAATTAGTCATGGCAATATAATTAATTTTTGAACTGGACTATATGACAGGAATCAAAATGTGTCACTTGCAGGCCAGGGTCCAAAGAAACGGCTGTGACTTCTCCACATTTTATTTCCCTTTTTATTAGCTGGAGCAGAGGACTCTGAAGCCCTTGTGGATGGAGCATTTGGGAAACTGGAAGATTCTGAATCTCTGAATTATCATGTGGTGGAGAGTTGTCTGCTGACTAGGAATATCTGCATTGAGTTGTTTCATGAACAAGAAACAGTCTTCTATCTCAGCGAAATATAGTATTTCTTAAACATTGAATGCAATCTTATCACATCTGGAACTATTGAATGTCTTACAGAATACCCCTAAGTTAATGGTAGAGTGATGACTAGAATCCGTATTTCTTACCTTTCTGTTAGTGTTTTGATGAGTTCTCACTGACTACGGTACTTTGGGATCTGGTTACTGACGATGCGTTTTATAGAAAATGCTAAAAGTACATGAATTGATGCATTAAATGCAAATGTTCATTTAAAATATATTTTTGATTTTGAAATAGGTAACACTAGTACATCCATGTGGAGTATTTTATAAAACTGTGGCTTATTGAGAAATAGCCTCTTTTAGCAGGATATCATGATTTTGTGGTACAAAACTAAGATACACATCTAACAGTGAGATGCCAACAAAGTGCATAACGTTTTATTCCAGATGGCTGTTGCTTTTGCCAATCTTGTGCGGAAATCAACAGCTTGTTTGGGAGAATGCCTAAATACCCTTTGCAGGTCAAAGTTCTTTTCACCAACAATATACTCATTTGTTTTTCTCTAAGAAAGTTCCCTTTCAGGCTAGAACTATTCTACAGTATAATTAGTTCTTTTAAAAAAATAAAATCCTCATTCTAATGAAAGTATCAGATTTCAGTATTCAAGAGCTGATAATCCTATTCATGAATAACAACCAAGAATTTATTATTATCAGGTTTTTACTGTTTTGATTAGTACTCTTTCCAATGTTTTCTTTTTAAAGTAATTATCCATCACTGGAAGAAATCATGCCAACACTTCCGAAAGTGGCTTGTCATATATTTTTTAAAAGAAAATAATTTTTGTGTTGTCTACTCTTGGTCCATTTCTGTGGTTTGCTGCTCTGTATTGACCATAGCAGAAATTTGAATTTGTTGCTCTCTCAAATCTGATATCAGGAAATTAGTGTGAAGGTTTTCTTTTTCATTTGAAAGACCTCTCAGTGAGATTTCCTTTGTAAATTTGATGACTTGGGTGCTCGCCATAGATGATGTGTAGGTGCATTGGGTGACAGAATGGAGCATGTCACCCTAGGGGAAACTGAGAGCAGTATACAGGGAGACCACTCCTAGCTGTTCCAGGAGCCCTCACTCTCTGCAGTTAGAGAGTCTTTGAGTCCAAGCCCACATCTTTCTGCTGTGTAAGGCGAAGACTTCCCTCTGTGTCTAAAGGGGCATTTGTGATAGGCAGTGTGCATTAGTCCACCTGAGAGTTTGTGAGATGGAGGCAGAGCCTATTGGTTCCAGTTGGGACTGTGTCTCTCTGTGCGGTTAGAAATGGGAACACAGAATCATGGGGTTTGTTCAGACTAGAAAGACAGGCCAAGTCAGAAAGACTACCATAACGCTTAAGCCCCAAAGCCTGGGAAGGGTCAGAATGAAGCTGTGGTATTGTGATATAGTAAGAAATATATATTTGGTCTCTGTTGTGGATAGGGACACCAGGAGAATCTTTTATTTTAATATGTAGTCTTTGATCTTAGTTCCTGACACAGAACTCCTAAGACTTTTAGTATTTCCAGAGACAGAGGAGTGTCTAACACACAGCTCCTAAAAATCTTGGAATTTCCTGGGTGATGGGAGCATTGTATGTTCTAGTGAGCCAACTCTTGGGGGTCTTCTCGATAGCCATAGGATAGGGACTGGTTGCTAGGGAAGACAACCAAGTAATTAGATGTTTGGAACTTTTAATCCCAGTCCTCAACTTCCAGGGGTGCGGGAAAGGTGTTGAAGGTTGTTAATCATCAGTGGTCAGTGACCTGTTAAATCATGTTTACATATTAGGGCCTCTGTAAAAAACCAAAAGAATGGGTACTGATGAGCTCCTGGACAGCTGAACACACGGAGGTTTCTGGAGGGTGGTGCACCCAGAGAGGACATGGAAGCCACTCCCGCTTCGCATACATCTGCCCTGGGCATCTCTTCCATTTGGCCATTCATCTATATGTTTTGTAATAATCTTTGTAATAAATGGGTAAATATAAATAAAACATTCCCCTGAGTTTGTGAGTCACTTTAGCAAATGAATCTAACCTTAAGAGGGCTATGGGAGCACCCAGTTTATAGCCTGTTGGTCAGAAGTACAGCCAAGAATTTATGACTTGTGATTAGTATTTGAAGTAGAGGCAGTGTGGTGGGACTGAGTTCTCAGCCTGGGGGATCTGCCGCTATCTCCAGGTACAGTGGCAGAATTCAGTTAAACCGTAGGGTGTCTAGTTGGTGTCTGCTTGGGTTTGTGGTGAGAAACCCATATACCTTTTGGTGACCATATATGGAATATTCTGTGCTGAGCAGTTTGAAAGTGGAGCGTAAAATACAGTTATTTTTAAGTCAGTGTTATGGTTTAGTTCTAAAATCTGCACTGCCCCCCCAAGTGTTCTGTTCAGAGGTAGGGCTTGGTTGGAGGAGACAGGTCACTGGGGCTTGATCTGGAAGGATGTCTTTTCCTCCCTTCTCACTCTGATTCCTGGCCACCCCCGGAGTGAGCAGCTTTCTTCCACCATGCCCTTCTGCCATGTTTCTGCCTTGGACCAGGTGAAAGCAGACCAAACCCTCTGCAGCCATGAGCCAAAATAAACCTCTCCTCCTGTATGTTGTGGGCGTCAGGCAGTTTGTCTCAGTGCTAGAAAAACTGACTAATACAAGCAGTGAAATGAAGATGAGAAAACCGAGTACTCAGATGGAAAATACTTGTTATACCCAACATGTGGGATGTTCTGGCCCAGAAGGAGTAGAAATGGAACCAAGCCACAGAGTTTGAGTACGCGAGTAAAGCTTTATTGACAGTGGATTATCTCCAGGGTGGGACTGGGGATGGGGCAGGGAGCAGTGCTGAAAGAGATAAATCAGCTTGGCCCACTAACAAGGAAAGGGGCAAGGAGTTCCACTGGTGGGCGAGAAGCTAGGATTTTTCTCTGGTCCAGGGAACATTTTCCAGAGATTTTTTTTTTCCTGTGTAAACATTTCAGCCTTGAGGACTATTATGCAGGAATTATTATATTCTTTCGATTAGCGTTCTCATTCTGCATGAACACCCTGGCTGTGTGATAAGGATGAGATACTGCTATTTAAGAGAACACTTGAGGGAGAGTGTGGAAGAAAATACATGACCAGTAACAGTGGAAGGGCCTAGGTACTTCCACGTTGTCTCTCTGCAGTGATCTCCAACAGCTTTATTCTATCATCTAGCTTATTCTTTTTTTTTTTCAGCTTTAATTGAGTTTATTGGTACATTTTAGGGATACAGTACAGTTACATTCATTGTTGGGATCTTGTACCTCTACATGACAAGTCTTGATTCTCATTTTTTCCCCTTACCTCTGCCCTCCCTTCACCCCCTCCTCCCCTCCCCATCTACAAACACTTTATTTTCATCTTTTCATTATCTCATCTAGCTTATTCTTGGAGATGCATTGGGAAAGTGTTCTGGCTTTAATAATGCACTTTTTTTTTTTTTGGTACCGGGATTGAACTCGGGTCCTTGTGCTTGCAAGGCAGGTGGTAGAACTACTGAGCTAAATCCCCGGCCCCCATGCACCTGGTTTTTGAAGTTAACAAGATTGAGAGAGTAAAGAGATAGGGAAGAACACAGAACACTTGTACTGGATAACAGACCTTGAGTTAAGGCCCTAGGCAAGTACCTGTCCTGTGGTGATTCTTGTGTTACTAGTATACATATAGTAGGCTCATGAATTAAGCCTTTTTGTAGTGGCCAAAGGTAACTGTTGCCTATTTTGAGAGAATATTTCTTCAACGAATTTCCCTAGAGTTGCTAATTCTCGATTCTCTCTAAACTCCTCTAGGCTTTGTCATTTGTGTGTGTGTGTATTCAGATGTATTTCCCTTTGGAGAAATTCTTCCAAGTCCTAAGGTGAGATGTTGGAAAGCACTTATTCTGTTGCAGACTGGACCAAGATGTGCTCTGACATCTTTGCATTCCTTTCTGGGCCATGGGATCAACTCCTGCAGTTGTAAAGCAAAGCAGAGGGTTTGGGGGTGTAGATCCAGCTGGTAGCTGAACTGAGAGTCAAATTCTGATCAAAGGAATACTTTCTGCCACAGACAAAGCCCTGGGAAACTGTGTGGAAGAAGCCTTTTGTTACAGCTAGACTACAAAGCATTAGGTCTGGTAGCACAGGAGATTTTGAGAATAGGATTACTGCTTTGCTGGGGGAGGTGGCTGGGGGGAAGAAATGCAATTAAAAGATCATCATCTTAATCAGTTTGACTCTCCTATTCCTACATGGCTCCCAGGAGGAAAGTTTTCTTTTCTTTTCTTTTTTTTAAACTGAAACACATACACGCACAAATCCTCCATCAGTTCTCCTAGTTCTTCTCCCACAGATCATTAACCAATACTGCTCGATACAGCAGCTCAGAGTGTGAGCACAGGCTGACTTCAAAGACAAGTCAGCACTGACAGGTTGGCAAAAAGTGGGTGGAAAAGGCAGGGGCTTGTAGGAATTTCTGAAGAGAACTTCCAAGGAAAGAAAGAAAGACAACAGAAAGCTAGTGGGGGCACAAGGATTAAATACAAGTGTCCAACAAAGAACACTGGTAAATTTACTTTCATATCTGAGCTCCTTCCTCTTCCTTGGTTTAAAAAATTATCATTTATAGGAAAATGGATACATATTGAGGCTATACTCCTAAGTGAAATAAATAAGTCACACATGTGTAAATACCGAATAGTTTCTCTGGTGTGAAAAACCGTAATGCTACATAAAATCCTAAGGATATAATTGACCATGTGAAATAGGAAGAAAAGGGCTAAAGGTGTTGGGAAAATGGGAAGGGTAGGGGAAAGGTAATAAGGGAAAAGAAAAAAAATGTATGAGAAAATGAAAACATGAAAATAAAGTGTTTGTAAATAGGGAAGGGAGGAGGGGGTGAAGGGAGGGCAGGGATAAGGGGAAAGATGAGAAAAAAATTATAATGAAGTTTACTTCAACTGCACTAGGATTTAGGTTGTGAAAGGAAGATGTTAGTTATATGGGGTTCAGATTTTATTTTGTTGCATCACCATTATTAATACAAACAGAAAGCTTTGAGTTATCCATGAGGTCCATGGAAACAATTTTGAAAGAGGCACATGTTGATTTTCTGGCATTTTTTCACCTAAAAATGATTCTTAATGCGATTTTCCTTAAGATTCTTTGTTTATGCTTTTATATTTTCTTTAGTAAGTCAAATGCTCATAGTTCCAGAAACAAGTGGAAATTAAGTTGAGTGAAAAAGTGTTTAGGAAAAGAAGAATGCTAGTAAAAAAATGATTGTCTCATTGGCTTTTAAAATTTATTCAGGTAATTGATGTCATTGCTTGAATTCTCAGTTTTCACTCTATAGTATGTTATAATTGTAGGACATGCCTATGAACAGTTTTATTAACTTATTAGGGTTTTTTTTGGTCCAAAGACTTATTAAACATAAATCACTAATGGCAAGGAGCCTAGTAAATCTCTATTTTTTTGGTCTAATTTTTTGTTGGTATTTTGCTTTGAGCAGTTTTACTCACTGTGGTATTTATGTGTGATCATTTGACTAGAACACAACTGAAATCTAAGGAATCCTAGTTTATGGCTATGGTTTGGGAGTTACTGTTTTTTTTTTTGTTTGTTTGTTTCAATAATATTGTGAGGGGAATAATGCTAACAGTATTCTTTAAATGCACACAGAAGAATTTGGCTGTTGATCAATCTCTGGTCCGTAGTTCACTAATTTCATGTTGAGACACAGCTTTTCCTTTAATTCTGCTAGATCCAGGGTTTAGTTTGAGTTTGCCTGTCTCAAGTAGAATCTAGGAAGAGAATGAATCTTAGAATAACACTGTCATCTATTTCCTCACCTTCTCTTTGTGAACTTTATCTGTAGATATTATAAATTTTTAAAAAATATTAAAATAATAATTTAATAAGCTGACAATCTTGACTCTCCCTTTCGGGTTCAACAACCTAACTCTAGCCTATTTGACCTTTCCCACTGTCACAGCATCCTTCTATCCCAGCCAAAGCAGCCCTGTCTACGCCCCAGTCACATCGTGCACACTTCTACTCTCAGCTGTGCCTCTGCCTCTCTGAACCACCTTGCCTTCAGAAGTTCCTTGAATCTGTCAAAAGCCAGCTGAAGCCATCTTCCTTCACGAAGCCGCCCCTGAATTCTCCAGCTTTCCTGGGCCTGGTCTCTCCATTTGATTAGGGCACTGTGAGGCACTGCTTCTCACCTGAGAACTTAAAAATAATGCAGCCAACAATGTTTTACAAGACAGCATTCCAAGAACAGACCACCAAGGTCAGTGCGTAATGGTGCAGAGCAGAAATGTGTAAGGACTGGATAGTTCCCTGGTGTCTCAGACCGGAGTAGAGCCTGACTGGACATATCAGCATATCTGCAGAAAAATGTCAGTCTGAAAGAGAGCTGATCAGTAGCGAAAGCTTAGAGAAGGGAGCAGGAGGCCAGCATGGGCTGTGACCACCCTAACAACATGTAAAGGTTGAGATGGAGTCAGCACAACAGATGCGGAATTAATTTGGCTATTTTTTTAGTTCAATGTAATTTTTCTGCAAAGAATTCTTTGCATTTGTGAAATGAATCATTACGGCATTGCCACAAATACTGAAAGCAGTGGTAGTAGCATCATTATGTTTGCTTGAGAGAGAGGCTTAAAATGGAAATAGGGTCACATGAAAAGGACAAGTATGTTCCACTGAAACCAGTCACAGATACTGGTAAAACTGCTTAGAATGACGTGGTTGCTAAGCGTGATATTAATTTTTATTAGCTGTCTTTCACAACATATGTGTGAGGTGGGCAGTATTTTTCCTCATGCTTTGATTATTAAGACTTTATCAAATTTAAAGGGTTGATAGTGCAAGTAAGAGATGAAAACGTGTTATTCCTAATATAAATAAGTAGATAACTAAGCAAATGAGTAAAAAAAAAGTGGGTGGGTGAGTGAATGAACAGAACCCATGCTGGGAATAACCTTTTGATAATTCTCATGTTGACCCAACTATGAAGCTGTGAATGGCCAAGGAGGTGTAGTTTGGCATAAAATGGTTTTTTGTACTTCAAGAAGAATAAATGTGCTTTTTCTTAAGCCTCAATAAGATAACAGTTACATCCACATTCACCAGGTAGTTTATAAACATTGTATTGTTTATATTTCTGGTTATTCATGTAGCAAGCTCTGCTCAAATGAAAACTAGATTCATAATAAGGAGACCTGCATTTGAATGTAAGTTGCTACCTTATTTCCATGACCATTAATAATTCACCTTATTTTTCGTAGACTGAATCTCTTAACTTATGACATGGAGATGATACAGTCCCTCATGAGGATGGTTTTGAAGATCAAAACTGACAACTGTTAACCGGGTGTATTGAGGTCTGTAGAGTTGTGGGAATGGGAGGAGCTATTTTACAGATAAAACATCCAGTGCACTGAGTGGGCATTATGTACATTAATCTTTTTTTTTTTTTTTTCAGTACTGGGAATCAGACCCAGGGGCGCTCTCACACAGAACTATATTCCCAGCTCTTTATAAAATTTTTGTTTTGAGACATGATTTCACAAAGTTGATAGAGTGGGACTTGAACTTGTGATCTACTAGTTTGTGTGTGTGTGTGTGTGTGTGTGTGTGTGGTACCAGGGATCATACTTGGGCCCTTGTGCTTGCAAGGCAGGCAGTGGAACCACTGAGCCAAATCCCTAGCTCTCCACTAGGTTTTTATTATCACAAGTTCAAAGGTGATAGAAACATAGTAAATAAATGCCACTTTGTTCATGATTAAATAATTTCTCTTAACTTATTAAATAATTAGATAATTAAACATTAATTAAATATATAATGGTCATATAATTAGCATGGCAACTTGAATTATTATGTAAATAATAATTCAAATATTACTGTACCATTTTGTATTCAATTATCCTGCTTAAGGTTAAAAAATTACCAGAGGGGAGCTCTTTGTAAGATGCCAAGGAAAGAGTAAGAGACAAGTACCTGCAGTGTTTAAGTGTTTCTGCCAGAGGACGATGGGACCCTGATGTGGAGCTTCCAAAGAGCAATGCCTGGGGATAAGGTGACCACACATCATCATCTTTGAATGACTTACATGTCTGTGTTGAAAATACTTAATTGTGTAAATGCTAGAAACATTCATCCACATAAGAGAGTTTTGGTTTGGTACTATACCGGAAGGAGAGAAAAAGGCCAGTGACATAAAACCAAAATGATCAATGCCAGTTAAAAATTGAATCCACAGTAAGTTAATGAAGTGGCAAGATCCTCAGCACCTTCCAGCCCAGTCTGTCATAGGGCCACAGTTAATCTACTGGTTCCCAGCCATGGACCCAGGACTTGGTTTGCAAATTTCAAGTTTCTTATACCACTGCTCTTTACTTTGAGTAAACAAATACTCCTGCATCAATGGGTCTAAAGGGAGAGATGGCTTGCTTTCAAACCCAAAGAGGACATTAGCTCTGCTTGTGGAGTGAACACTGTTGGATTGTGGCAAGGAAGACTCAGCCCAGGGCCCCAGGGATCTGGCTCAGAAACACTGAGGCCATTGTCTTTAGAGGCCACAAAAGGAGCTGTTGAAAAACTATGCTTTAATATAAAGCCAAAAATCTGTGCTTGTCGTTGTGTGTTTATTTGGCATTTAAGTATGGCTGTCATTCTTAGCTCTTGCCACTGGTTGTGTTTAAAGGAAGGACCACTGCTGTGGAATGGGAGCCTGCTCAGTGCAAGGTCCTGAGTTGCATCTCCAGTACTGGGTAGCGGGAGGAGAGAATGAACCAGATTATAATCTTTGTGCCTGGCAGTCCAACATCACTTATAAACTCTGCCAACATTCCTTTGGAAACTGATGTTTCTAGAGAGGGGATAGTAATTACATATCCTCTTACATTTGTTCAGTAAAATCTGATGTGTGGAAAGCATGAGCTTTAGGCTATGTTTGGAAACAACTCATTAGGAACATACCTTTTTGAAGAGAATAGGACATGATCATTCCAAAACATCTATGTTTCATAATTCATAATACAATATGCAACTTCCTTATCTACATAAATTCAGGGAGGAAGTCATATGTATCATTAGTCCTAGACCCAAATATAAATTTTAGTTGCTTCTCCTTGTAATTTGTAAAATTTTTCTTTTATCTCCAAAGGTGGAATTATAGCGCAAAACTCCAAAGGCAGCAAATTTGTTGATGATTTACTTATAAACAAAGAAAGCTGAGTTGCACCTCCACCCTGTGATTACAAAGAGCTTTAGGCCACTATAATGGTTATATACTGATAAATGCAAATAACGTACAGAAAAATATTGCTACTCATAAAAGCATCAAGGGTTTTAATATTTTGTGTGAATTTTCAAGGGATGGGTGCTGTATGGAACATGAATCTGAGTAAAACTGATGTAGGGATTTATGCTCATGAACTGAAAGCATTTGCAGTAAAATGTTTTTTAGCTGAATGAGTAATCAGCTACTGGTGAAGGTGGAAGTTCATTTAGAAGTAAACCCTTTAGGCAAGTGCTGAAACATCTTACTCAGGAAGGCATAGTGTGCTTTTGTGTAAGCTGGGATGTATTCTAGTTTTCTGGATTGTCATAATTTACTTATTATATATTTAAAACCTTGAATTATTCAAGTGATTAAAAAATAGTAGAACAAGTTTCCCCTAGAGATGGAAGCATAGGCTCATTCCATGGTGTTCTACGTAAATCTCATTATATGTTAAATCTATTCCAGGAATACAAAAGTTATAGTCTTCCTTTGCTTCACTACAAATGCAGATCTTATGTCACTTACTGACCTTTGATTCAATTCATGAAAAAATCTCTAACGGCTAGGTATATGTTATCTTTTAAGCCCAAGCTCATGTTTCTTTCTAGAGTATCCCAAAGCCCCATTGAGATTGCAGTGGAGAGAATGGGTACTGGACAAAACAATGCAAGAAATAAGCTCAGTTTTAGCCTCCTCTGTCTCAATTCATATCTACAACATCTGTTAAATGGGCTGAATGATATTCTCTCTTCAAAGAAAATGGAACAACAAATTAATAACGTGGCCAAAATTTCTGAGGTGTCCTCAAGAATACATTGATTTTCATATTCAGTCACTGATTTTTACAAGAAGCACAGTGTTGGCCATGTCCAAATTCAACTTAATTTGGACAGCAGTTTTAATATCTAGGTGTGTAAACAGCTCTGATTAACAGGACCACTCATTTGAAGAACCCTAAAGTGAATCCATACATGTTCTCATTTTATATAACCCCAAGTGAATTCTGCAGTTAAAATATCCTGGCAGGACCTCACAATTAAGTCCTGCTCAGTGTTAAGCCATCGATAAAAAAGATTCATTTATGATAGAATAAACATTTTCTGTCTTCAAAATGTCCTGTCCCAGATTAATACCTTACATGCTTTATGACACAGAGTCCAATAGAGGACTGTTACCCGCCTGAGTGTGGGACAACCTTACCATCTTTCCAGGGGGAACGATTGTTCTGATATTGTGTGATTTCTCAGGACTCGAGGCCTTCAGTGCTGAAATGCACTTAATCTTAAGCAAGTTGCTAAATAACTTTCTGAGAAAATTCCTGGCTTTACATCCTGGTGGCCAGAAAACATTCCCCTTCAAAGAACAAACATGACTTCCAGCTAGATTTAGACACGTGGTTGCCTCAGTACTCTTCCACTTCTAGTATTTACCAGAGTCCATTCCCAATATACTTTCATCTATTCCAAAATTTCCATGAAAACTCCTATGGCCGCTGATACCTAAAGGAGTTGTTTGAGATACCGTGTCCTATTTTCTTCATTTCTTCTGTGTTTATCGTGCAGTCACTTTGCACCAGGCAGTGGGTTAGTGATTTTCCCAGTGAAGGCAGACTCTGTTATCATGGGCTTAGAGTCTGACGGGGCAAATAAATGAACAGGCACTGTTAAGAAAGTCCTATCCTTTCATCAGTCCAGGCCACACCAAAGCAGCGGCCCTGAAACAAATTCTAGCTTTGCACAATTCATTTTCACAGACTTCAAGTGTAGCATTAGGCTAAGTGATATCTTATGAATGACTTTATGCTTTTTTTCTTTAACAGGAAAAACAAACAAATTGGAGACCTCCCCTTATGCAGTTCGTATTCATTACACAGAGTCAAGTATGGTTCTCTGTAGTGGATTGGTAGAGCCAAGAGGTGAAGGTAAGTTTTCATTATATTTTCTTAGTTTCTGTTCAGATTTTTTTTTTCTCATTGAGTTTATTGGTACATTTTAGGTAGACAGTACAGTTACATTCATCATTGGGATCTTGTACCTTTACATGACAGGTCTTGGTTCTCATTTTTTCCCCTTGTCCCTGTCCTCCCTTCACCCCCTCCTCCACTCCCCATTTACAAACACTTTATTTCCATTTTTTTATTTTCTCCTATTTTTTTCTTTTCCTTATTTACCTTTCCCCTACCCTTCCCACTTTCCCTACACCTTTAGCCCTTTTCTTTCCATTTCACAATGTCAGTTATCTCACTAGGATCTTATGTACTATTATAGTTTATTCACACCAGAGAAACTATTCAGCATTTACACGTGTGACTTATTTATTTCACTTAAGAGTATATCCTCAATATGTATCCATTTTCCTATGAATGAATCCAATTTCTCATTCTTTATGGCTGAGTAGTATTCCATTTTATAGACAAACCACATCTTCTTTATTCAATCTCCAACTGAAGGGTAAATGGGCTGTTTCCAAGTTTTAGCTATAGCAAACTGTGCCACTATAAACATGGGTGTGCATATATCACTCTGGTATGATTCTTTTAATTCTTTTGGAAAGATACCCAGCAGAGGATGGCTGGATCAAATAGAACCTCTAGTCCCAGGTCTTTGAGGTATCTCCATATTGATTTCCATAGTGGTTGCACCAGTCTGCACTCCCACCAACAATGGTGAAGGGTTCCTTTCTCCCCAAACCCCACCAACATTTGTTATTGTTTGATTTCTTGATAGCAGCTATTCTTTGTGGGGTGAGGTGGAATCTCAGTGTTGTTTTCATCTGCATCTTGAATCACCAGTGATGTGGAACATTTTTTCATATATTTACTTGCTGCATTTATTTCTTTGTCTGAGAAATGTCTGTTTATTTCAGATGCCCATTTTTGAATTGGGTCCTTATATTTAGGTGGGCTGATAGTTTTGAGTTCTTTATATATTCTAGATAATATCTGTTCAGATATTCTGATAGAATGATTCTCTCCTTTTTATCCTGTTAAAATATTTTGGTCTTTTTCTATAAGTATTCTCTTCTCAGTGGAGGAGCAATATTTCTCTTTCACATATAGTAACCTCCCAGAGACTACATTCTTTTTCTATTTAAGATTATAAAGAATTTTGTTTTTCAGAAGGGAATTGCTCCCAAAATGACTATGAACCAAGGAAACTGTTCTTGCTAGACTTCTCCAGTATTCTATATCCAGACCTGCCCTCTCACTCTTGACTTAGTCTTAGGGGAATATGGGGGAGAGGACGGTATGCAGCACACCAGTCTAATGTCTTAGAAAGAAACTGGATTTAAGATTTCTTTTACCTCTTCCTAGTCTCCCACCTCTCCTTTACTAGCTCAAATAATGATTAAAACAAAAATTCTTGAAGTTTAATGTACATTTCTAGGGCAACCAGAAGACAGCAGCATGAATTAGACCAACTAAGTGTTACTGAATATAGAGACAGATGGGCCTCTTTCCAGGTTCTTGGTGTCCTGAACAAAGAATTGGACAAGACACACAGAAAAGGCAGCAAAAGTGTACTTTTACTGAAGGCAGAAAAGAAATACACTTTGCAGAGTGAGAGTAGGTTGGTGAAAAAGCTCACAGAGGCTTTGACAGTAAGGGAAAAGGGTCTTTTGTATCCAAAATTTTTTATTATGTAAGTAAAGCATTGAGAAAGTCATCTTATTAAATACTTTTTTGGTATCGTGCCATGTATAAACTGTAGTATCAAAAACTAGTTTGGCTTCCTTTTAAACGTAAATGAAGGATCAGAAATAGTGTCTTTTGATTGGATGTGCCTACATGAAAATGAAAGATTTAAAAGAGCATCTTCTGATTGGTCATGTGAACAGCACTGGATTCAAATGAAGGATTGAAAATATCAAGTTTTTGATTGGTCCAAATTAGAACATTTCTGATTGGTTCTGTGTACAGTGCTGACAGTGTTGCAGTATTAGGAATGTTCTTCTGCCTGTAAGTGTCCCTCACCCTGTTGTCTTGTTTTATAAGGAGTGGAGCACAAATCTTCAGGCAAATCTTATCTTGGGAGATAGTGGGGACAAGCCGAAGTCTCCCTGGGAGAGGGAGAGTCCTGCTTTTGCAACTCTTCCCAGAAGCACTTCATCCTCTCATAACTAGGAACATTTTGGATTTTCCATTTGGATTCTTTGATTGCATGTCCTGATCTTCCTCTCCTCCTTGTCTGTTTTTTTCATTGCAGCAGGAGATTGCTAGTCTATACTTCTGGATGATTATGCACTCTCCCGCCAAGTGAACAAAATAGTATAATCTGGATTAAGTGGAAGATTCCAGTTTCTTCTCAGGTTTCTCTTGGCTGGCCTGAATTTTTTTTGAGTACCCACTGTAATAATCATAATGAAGGTGTTGCAACCAGGGTCCCTGCTATGGCTTCCCCACTGAATGTTTTCTGACAGATCACTCTGTGATTCTCAGTTTCTTGCTTTGTTAAAAGGAGAAAATAGCAGCACCCCCCTGAAAGGAGTAATGGGAGGATTAAATGTAAATATGTTTTGTGAAAGTTATTAATGATTATACAGATATTAGGTTTTGTTTCCCTCTGCATCTGGAATTGGTGAAGAAAGAATTTATTATTATTTTTTTTATTTTTGGGGAAGAAAGAATTTTTAAAAAGGAAGAGAAATGAGAGAGTGTGTGCACATTTTTGACTTGAGAAGCTTACACTTTTGCAGAAAGACAAAACAATTGACATGGAATGGTGCTGGAAGAAGGAAAACAACACATTTAATGACAGTTGGCCCTGCTGACTTTTGTCATTACTGGGCAAGTGTTTGCCTAAAAAATGTCCTCAAAATTATGATCTTTCCTGGGGAGACATTTATTTTGTTGTTGTTAAGGGGAAGAGAAGTAAAAATATGAGGAAAGTATCAGATATATTTTTTTCAAAAGGCCAAATACTTGCAAAATTTCTATCAAACTCAAACTCATAAAATTCATCTTTTGTTTAAGTAAAATAGTTAAAAATTTAAGAGGTCGTTAGTTTGAAAAACATTTTACATTTAATTATAAAAAGACATGCTACTATTATATTTTACCTTCCTAATAATTTAATCACAAAATTAATCCATTTTTACTTTAGAACATGCAGAAAATGTAGATGAAAGAATATTTAAAACTTCATCCCAAAAATCTTTCACCCAAGGGCAACTACTGTTAATACCTTAAAGTATTTTCACCATTTTTTTGTTTAAAAAATTATAGTTTTAGTCACATAGATTAAAAAGTTTTTATTCTCCTTAAATTCCCCTTCTTAGAAACAATTTTGGCTTTTAAAGCTTATTCTTCTGGTATTGACTTCGTATCTCAATAATGTCTTTCATTTATTTTTTATTTTCAGTGCTTCTGGCATTATCTATGGACTTGCCATTGTGGAAGATGAGAAGTTAGGTTTCCCTCTCCGTCAATGTCATTAATGCAGCTCATCGCCCATCCTTTTCATCTCGTTATGTGTGATTTTGATCAATCCCTCGTGTGGAGCTGAGATTCAAAGCTGAACTGTGTAGCACAAGAGGTGATAAAAAATATGGCGAATGTTTAAATTTTTAATAATTTGCTACAGTAAAACACACATTGCCATTAATCCTTCTCAAAACACTTTCACTCTTTTATCCTATGATTCTTACCACTTTTTGAAGCAGTTTTGAAAATTCTCATTTGTTAGTCTTTCAAAAGCATGATAAAAGATGCAGTGAATGCTGTTACCAAGTGCCATCCAAAAGAAAGGCAGTTTTGTAAAAACATTTTTACATTTAACCTTCATTCACTTTATTCACCGGATCTGCCACCAAGTGGCCCAGGGTCAAAATGGCCATGAAAGATGAATGTTTTGAATTTACTCAAGACAGAGACAGCTATCACAGTGAAATAGAACTTTCAGTATTGTTTCAAAATGTGGTAAGAATGATCAGAGAAGTGTGTTCAAAGTGAGGGGGCTATTTTGAATGGCAGTGTGTCTTTTATTATAATAATATTTTTATTTAAACATACCATTTTTTATCACACATTTGTACGACTACTTTTTTTCAGAACCATTTGTGAATTAATAATTCTCTTATTTTCTTAAATTTTTTTCTAGGTATAAATTGGGGTGGGCCCAAGTTTTCTTTTTTTCTTTCTTTTTTCCTTTTTTGGTACTGGGGAGCAAACATGGGACCTTGCACTTGTGAGGCAGGCTGTGGAAACACTCAGAAGCAGATACTGCACTTTGCCTAGATTTGCTAAAGATTTTTCCTCATATACTGTAATAGGTTTTTAAATAGATGTAACAATGTTTTAATTTCCATTCATTTTATTCCTAATGAAGTTGAGGAGCTTTTGTAAGATTTGTTTTTAAGTTAAATTTATTTTTCTGTAAGTTTTCTGAAAAGAAAAGCTATCTCCCCCATTTTATGAATGAGAATGGTAAGCTACACAAGGGAGAAAGGAAAACTCTGACATATCCTGAGTTTCTCTCAAGTGTAGCACCTTGCTAAGTGCTTCAAATATGAATTTAGCTCTCAAAACAATCACTAGTAATGCTAAACAAATGCACAATGCTGCAGAATGGCAGAGCCATTTTTCAAATTTTAATTTTATATATCCAGAGAGCAAGAGAATTTTATAATTTAGCCTTTCTTTTTCTGAAAAGAATGGAAGTAGATGAAATTCCAATGATAATAAAAGAAAGGCTCTTTCTAGGATCTTGTTTAGAATTCCTTGTAGGGCTGGTTTGGTATTCATGTAGTTTCTCAGGTGTTCTTTGTCATGGAAGTGTCTTATTTCCCCGTCCATTTCGAAAGAGAGTTTTGATGGATACATCAGTCTAGGTTGGAGGTTGTTCTCTTTTAGTACTTGAAATATCTCATTCCAGGCTCTCCTTGCCCCAAGGGTTTGTGTTGAAAAGTCTGCTGTGATTCTGA